AAATACTACACTGAAAAAAAGAAGGTACATCTAGCAGTCACTGGTTTCTGTGGATATGCACTCACATGGTGGAATCAACTTGCTAAGATTAGGAGATTCAATGGAGAACCACAAGTTGCTTCATGGTTTGAGATAAAAACCATAATGAAGAAAAGGTTTGTGTCCAAAAGCTATGGTCAACGTGATTTGGAGTGGTTGCCTAGTACTTCTAGTTCATCTAGAGCACGACCTAGGTCAGCCAGAGAGGAGCCAAGGACCTTTTGCAGGCGTGATGCACCAAGAAGTTTTCAGAAATCTACTGCACAACTTGATTTGGACAGCCCACAGTTTCAGACTTGTCTCAGGAATGAAATACAACACCAATGCAAAGCAGCTGTACAAAGCCAGCAAAAGAGGCTAAGACCACGACCAACCTCAGTAGCTGATGAGCCGAGTTGTTATAACAAGACACCAGCAGAGAAGGATCCAGAGATTGCAGCAGAACTGGTTATTCTCAGTCAAGAAGATAGCATGGCTGATCAATTGAAACGAGAGAAAATACAACAAGTTTTGGGAGCTGAAGTGTCTGATCTAATTAATGCTGAACATGACAGAGAAACTCAATTTTGGTGTGGGCACGTTCCTGATCAAACAAAGAAAGAAGATGCTGTGCTAGAAGAGTCATCTGAAGCTCCTGAAGTGTTGCTTTCTATGGCTGATCAAGGTGAGAATTTTAAGAATTTATCTTGTGAGTTACTGATCAAGCTTAAGGTATCTCTTCAGCTCAGCATAAGGATGCATCTAAGAGTTCTCAAGGGTCTGCAACAAGTTATTTTTGAACCAGGAGGAAGCTTGAGTGTGAGTAGAAGAAGTAACAACAATTTGGTGCAGAAAACAGTTTCATACAAGCTTGATTTGCAAGGTTCTTTCACTCCTGGAGAACAAGATTTGAGGTCAAATCTTTTTGAAGGGAGAGAGGATGGTGTGATCCTAAGTAGCAGCAATAAACAAAGAGGAGGAACAGGAGGCAACACGTCCTTGATCAGATCCACAACAGATCAGAACAAGCTAAGGCGAGCAAAACAGAAACTGGTTGTAGTTAAAGAGAAGCCAATACTTGAGAGTGAGTATGGGGACCAATGCACACGACGACCTGACCTTATGCAGAAAAAGAATCAAGTTAAATTCTGTGCTGTTCAAGGTACTTTGAGATATATCAGAAGCATTCCTCTACTTCAACATAAAAGGCTACGGCATACACTAAAACAACCAGC